ACATTCCATCGTGGGACGAGAGGATTAGTGCACGCCAAAGCGGAGCGGGAGGAAGTGGCGCCAACGATGATGAGGAGGAAGAAGAGGATTGATTTTTTTTTTGTGTTTTTGTGTTCAAACAATTTCAATTGTTATTTTGTTTTGTTTTTGGTGTGTATGCTTTGAGATATTATTATGTTTAATAGTTGTTTGCTTTAGTTATTTTCAGGATTGCATTTTGATTGCTTGCTTAGGATGAGGTAAAGCATGGATGTTTTTGCGTGGGAGAGCGAGTCAAGGAAGCGAGTTTTTAACATCAAAGTGTCAAGTCCGGTCTTAGGAGTGTGAGCGATTGAGTCCGCATGTGAGGAAGGGGGTAATGAAGTTGTTAGAGACTCAAACAGTTGCCACATACCAAAGTTTTTCATTCAGTGGCCAACTCGTCGAGTGCACTAAGCTGACTCGACGAGTCGCTGTGTATTTCAAGATATTTTTAGAAGGCGCGCTGCTACTCGGCGAGTCCATCATCAGACTCGACGAGTCAGTCATCTTTTGGGCCGAACGACTGCTGATTTGATGCCAATACTTATACCACTTGCATCCTTCTAATTCCATATCCATTCTTAAAGATCTTATGCCGATTTTCGCATATTAGAGCGACCCACACGATACATGGATGAGATTGTTCCCATGTATGAAGTTTATTGAAGATGGAGCTTAAATGAGAGTGATCAACCTATCCACTGCTATCCCAGGGGAGTTTGTTCCAATACCCTCTTTATTTTTCTGTTTTTATGCATAATTTGCAATGAGGGCATTGCATCACATAAGTGTGGGGTAGGGGGTTGGTTACATATTAGTCAATTTTAAAAATTTTGCATACCAAAAGGATTATTTAGGATTTAATTTAGACAATTTTGGTAAAGAATTAGGATTCCATGTTAGAATTGTGTTAATAATTGCATGACAACCCAAATGTTTAGTTGAGCCTATACACGTTCTAGTGCATTTGTGGCTTCCTTATTTCAGTGAAATCATGAGACAAAAACACGACCCTGCTCAGCCTGAGAGATGTAATATGTTTAGCAACCTAAACCTGAAATGTATCCAGGAAGATTTTTATCATTAGCCAATAAAGGTTGAGATTGAGCGCCCCTTCTTAAGCATGTAGGGATTTGAGTGAAAAAAAGTGAGGTATACATGTAAAAAAAGAAAAAAAAAAGAGAATTACAAGAAAAAGTTTGAAGAATTTTTGGAGCGTCAAAGTCAAGTATGAAATATGAAGATCGAAAATTCCGAAGAAATTAAAAAGTTGAAGATACCAAAAATCAAACAACGAAGGTGGTGAATTCAAAGTTATCCAAGATCAAATTATCAAGCAAGTGAAGAATTCCAAAGAGCTTCATAGTGGTATCGAAAAGTTGTAATTGTCTAGATTATGTATGCTTGGGTTGCTCAATTAAAAATACCTTGAGGGTAAAGAGGTTTTCTGAGGATGGATTCGAAGGGTTGCATAAAATGAGCATAGTTCGGGGTGAGTGGGCGAATGTTTATGAGGATTGTGAGTATTTGAAGTATGGGGGTTTTTAGGAATTTTAGACACAAATGCATGCGTTGCGGTCTTGGCATAATGGCTGGGTTGGATTGGAGTTATTATATGTGATTCTAATGTGTTAAAATTCAGTTTTGCTTGAGGGCAAGCAAAAGACAAGTGTGGGGTATTTTGATATGTGCATATTTAGTGTGTATTAAGTGTAGTTTATTATTCATATATTAGCTAAATTGTTGCATATTATGGACAAAAGGTACTTAAAAGTGTTAAATTATGTTTTTCAGTCCAAAGATGAAGCTCGGAAGCGAAAGGAAGCAAGAGAAGCGGTTAGGAGCTCAAGAGTGGAAAGAAGAAAGAAAACACCCATAAAAGGCTTCTACTCGTCGAGTCTGACCTTGACTCGACGAGTCCGGTCGCGGATTCAGAAAGATAAGCATTCGGAAGTCAAGATAGTTATCAGATTACGACTATTGTGAGAGGGACTCGACGAGTCACCATATGACTCGACGAGTCGGGATGCATATATAAAGATAACTCTATAATGCGAAAAGGGGAATTCTGGGAAGTTTCAGAAGTGCTTAGCTGCGAATAAGAAGCCAGAAGAACCCTAGAAGTCGACCAAGAAGCTAGAATCCAATCCGGGAGTAATTAAGGCGTAATTTCATCATTCTACTTAATTCTTTTGTTTTGTCAACATGATTAAGCAACTTGAACTTATTTGTTTGCTGTTATTTACCTTAGTTATGAACTAATTTCTTTATACTTCTGTTTGGGGATACAAAGTTGACAATATGGTTTGATTGATTGGTAGGATTAATTCCAAGTTGGTGATTAATTGTTATTTTAGCTTGCTAAAGAACCTTGTGTATGAATGATAATTAATTTTCTGTTAATAGGAAGATAATTGATTAGCATGAACATCTATTGATTATCAACCTCATATGATACGTGACCACTATATCATATGTCTAGGATTAATGAATATGAAACTAGGATTAATAAGGAAATTGAGTAAATTTATGTGCAAGCTTGTAAGATGACCATCGAACAAGAGGTTAATTAAGAATAACGAATTAATTAGCTATTGCAAGTCTAACTTAACCCGAATAATTAATCTAGTAAATATAATTAAATTAAGCAATTGGCCACTGTTTGAATTAGTTTATTTACTAAGGATTAGGGTAGTGAACACAACTTAATCACTTGAATCGGTAACCAACGAAAGAATTAATCCATTGCACTATTACCTTAGAATCAACCATCAAGTTAACCGAGTTGAACTAAACAGAAGTTTCTTTCCCATTATTGAATCTAGTTAATTTGTTCTTTTCTAGTCTTGCATTAGTTTTAGTTAGTAAGTTTCTAGTCTTGTAAAACTAGAAAAAAAACCTTTATTTGCTAAATTAACTTAGATAGAATTAGTTTTTAATTTAATTTGCCGTTCCCTGTGTTCGATACCCTGCTTATTTAGCTATACCACAATTGATAGGTTCACTGCCTTTTGTGTGTTATTTGATAATTAAAGTAGGATTAAAACTAAGTGAGTTTTACACACATCATACTCCATTATGGAATTTGATTGTAAAAGACCTGAGTCTAAGTGTTGTATCATACGATGAAATGTCATTAGAACATGATCCATCTGTCTATTATGGTAATCGAATGAAAGAACTTATATCAAGTCTGTAATATAGATTGATTTTGTAACTCGAAGGTTACGATTGAAAGTCCAACGTGAAATAGAGAGCGGGTGCAAGATCGAGACATTATACAAGCCCTGTTTCGTTGATGATTTCGGGACGTAATCAACCTAAGGAGGAGATAACTGTAACGCCCGCAAATTCGGGCTAGTCAATTTAGAGACAATAGGTGTCAAAAATGATTTTTTTTATTGCAGATTATTTAGAATAAATAATCTTAACTAAGTTATAGTACATGTCATAAGGATTCCATATATATAAAGAACTCTGAAATCTGAGTTATAACAAAAAAATTATGATCCGTCGAAGTTTCGGCAAAACCGACATGCACCGGGAACCATAAAAAGTGAGTTGATGATAAAGTAATTTTTATCCTAAGTGATCTAAAAGAAGTTGTAGGGTACATCTCCACCTACGTGTGGATATAAAGAACGTAAAAATGGAGCTCATATGCAGCATTTATGATCTTCCGAAGATGTAGCTGTCTGAGAGCTTGACACGTGGCAGAAACCCTAATTTGTCAAAGCTCATGACGTGAGCATGTATTCTCATGACGTGAGAGTGCACCAGGACACTAATCAAAGCTATAAAACACCTGGTAAGGCTACAGGATGATTCATGGAATCTCACAACGTGAGCATATCATCCTCACGATGTGAAAATTCATCCGGACACCTTTCAAAGCTAGAAAGGCAAATGGCAAGTCTACGAGATGATACGGCCATGGCTCACGACGTTAGCATATTATTCTCATGATGTGAAAGGGCCCAAAACAGCCTATAAATAGCAAGTCCGACCCATTCCATCATTACACCAAATTTCCTCTCTCTCTCTCTCTCACTCACTCACTCACTCATTCGCGGAAGGTGTTAGTTGTCCCGAGCCCGACGATCAAGAACCACCGCCCGTTTCTAGTTAAATTCTAATCAAAGCTAGCTACTAACGTGAGTGCATAGTCCCTTTCATGAACATGATTTTAATACAAGGATTGATTAATGTATTAAGTATTTGTTTGTGTGTGAAATAATTGATATTGCCTGAAATGCATGTCAAGAGCATACAAGATAATTATATGATGCTACAGAGTAAACTTAAGTTAATTAAGAAGAATATTGGGTAGTATCCCCTTATGAGTACGAGTGTGATATACACAAAGGGTAGAACTTTAAAACTTGTCATTGATCCGAGAGTAGGGATTAGACTTATTCATTTGTCCTTAGTCGGAGAGTATGGATAAGACATAGTTATTTGTCATTCATCTGGGAGCATGAATTAGACATAAGTAAATTATCTAAGAGTACGGAATGGGCATAACTATTGATCCGGGAGTATGGATCATACATACCCGATTTGGGAGTATGGATTAGGTAAAGAGGTAAATTTTACATCCGGGAGTATAGATTGTGTCATTGTGAGGGTCGACGGGGTTGGATAAATTGCTTATATGAGGCGAATTTGTATTATGTTGTGATGTTTTAAAACACACACATACACACACACACACACACACACATATATATATATATATATAACATTGTGGGATTCAAATCCCTATGTACTCACCAGGTTTTCCAACCTGTCCCAACAACTTATAACCCTCATTAAAAAATTTTATTGTCATTATTTCCACTACCACGCTTAGGTATAACCCTCACTCTATAATTTTTTTAATAAAGTTTGTATCCTCCATGAATTGAATAGATTGTTAAATCAAACCTATGTTGAGCAAGGGATTCATAATAGTCTCCTAATCGGGGCCTCATCTCTTCTCAGTCAACATTGGGATCATGCACTGTATACTTGATGCCAACATCTTCATCGTCCTCATCTAAGTGGGCATGTTTATTTTGTTGGTCACCAGGATTGTCTCCATCATTTACTATTACATCAATACTCCTCCTTAATATGTTTTCGTCACACAATAAGTTAAGAAAATGATCATCACATGGGTTTGAGGGTGCTTTGAAAGTTTCTTCAGAAAAATCCAAGAAACTAAAGTCAAATGCTTCAACATCGGAGTTAGAGTCTGGAAGGCATGTCTTCTCAAGGACCTTAGGCCCTTTAGGCTTCTTAATTCCAGAAGTAGAAGCCATTTGTTTCATAAAAAAAGTTAGCTCAAACTTGGAACTCTATAGACGAAGATAACCGCCATCAGAAACATGAATTTCTTGTTTTCATACACGTACCTTACTACTCCACCTCACTTCACCAATGATTTCGGAACTTCAAAATGCGAAATTGAGGACTGTGGATCCCTTCTCGAATGCATGAAACCCTTTATCAGTGATGGTTCGTAATAGGTGATGGCTATTGAATATGTTAGTGGTGACCGGATAGTACAGGTAACCTACTTGTCACTAGGTATTAGCTTTCAAGTGATAATTCCAAGAAAATATCATGTCCACAATCAACGGAAAATTAAAATTAGGGCTTTTGCCAATTTAATGGCAAAGATATAGGACTTTTATGATATTAATCCAATGAAATTTTGTTAAAATTCTTATTTTTTTCGGTTTTTTTAAATAACGGGTAAAAACCGTGGAAAAAACGGTTTCATGTATTTATAAAAGACCTATTAATAACCGGTTGTTTGTTACCAACCTACCCGGATTTGAAAAACGGGTTCTCAAGAAACCGGTTTGATTTTTGTCGATAGGTTATTAAAAACAGGTTTAAAATGTTTAGTATTCTTTATTATAATTTATTTATAAAGTTGGTGATCCGTTGGGCTAGTTTATTGGCATGCCATTACCTTATTGTCATATGCCCATCAGCCATTTTCATTTTTTGCTTTAAAAATTGTCCGCTTGTATTGGATCATTTTGGCCCAATTTTTTATTAAAGCGTACAAATTTCAAACCATATAATATTTTTCAACAATGGTTAATCGGTACAAATGAGGTTTATTCGTATTCGGTAAGTTTACGCAATGTTCTTGAACAAAGTTAGAAACAAGTCGAGAAAACTCACAATATGTTCGGCGACTTTTTATTAAAATGGTGTGTTTTAAAAAATATATTCACTAAATAGACACTTTTAAGGGAAACTGAATAAATTAATCAGTATAAATAAGCTTTTAATAATTAGTTTTTCAGTTTTTGAACAATGACTACATAATCCCGAATTCTTTATTTCGGATTTGATTTTCAAATTTTGAAGTTATTTTTTGGGTTTTTTTTTTCATTTTTTATTCCAAACAAATTCTCTACTTATGTTCAAAATGTTTTATTTTGAAGTATTTAATATCACCGTTTTTATATAAAATGTTTGATTTTATGTCATAATATTGCATATATTTCAGATTTACTATTTTTGTTTAACTTTTTATTAGATTTAAGTAGAAAAAAGCGAATATTTTTATCGAAATTTCATAATTGTTTATTGGATTTTGAACTTGTTCTTGAAATTTCAGAGTTTCATTTTTTTTCCCGAAATCCAACATATATGGTCTGCCACTGGGGTGCAGCAAGGTGACCCCTTGGGTCCTCTTCTTTTTGCCCTTGTTTTGCACCCGCTTGTGCACAAGATTAGAGACAATTGTAAGCTCCTTCTCCATGCTTGGTACCTAGATGATGGGACTATCATTGGATATTCAGAGGAGGTGGCTAGAGTGTTGAACATAATTCGGTTGCATGGTCCAGGTTTGGGTCTCGAGTTGAACATCATGAAAACAGAGATTTTTTGGCCCTCATGTGATGGTAGGAAGCTTCGGGCTGATTTATTCCCTACGGAGATAGGGAGACCTTCTTTGGGGGTGAAACTCCTAGGGGGCTGTTAGCAGAGACGCGGGGTTTATTACCGGGCTGGCCATGAAAAGAGCGGTCAATGTTGTTGATTTGATGGGCCTTCTTCCACAACTATGTGACCCACAGAGTGAGCTCCTTTTGCTTCGATCATGTATGGGCATTGCAAAACTTTTCTTTGGTTTAAGAACATGTCAGCCGGTACACATAGAAGAGGCAGCGTTATTCTTTGACAAGGGATTGCGCAGGTCTATCGAGGATATGGTGGTATGTGGAGGCCCCTTCTTTGGAGACATTCAGTGGCGCTTGGCTTCCTTACCTATTCGTTTTGGTGGTTTGTGTTTATACTCGGCCTACGAGGTTTCCTCCTACGCATTTGTAGCCTCGAGGGCCCAATCTTGGGCATTACAAGACCACATCTTACGTGACAGTGGCATATGTGGTATGGACTCGGATTATCTATGTGCTATGACTCGTCTCCATGATACGATTCCAGGATTTGACTGTAGCGGTTTCACTAATAAGGACACCGCCCCCCTAAATCCCAAAAAGTTTTGGCGTGTGCCCTTTTTAGCAAAATCGTCCAAGATATGGAAGTCAACTTCAAGATGACTGTTAGATAGAAAGCAGTCTTTGAGTGTCTGCGGGCGCCTCATGCTCAAGATTTTCTGCTAACTATCCCTATTGATGATCTTGGCCAACATATGTCTCCTGTGGAGTACCAAACTATCCTTCGTTACCACCTCATGATTCCCATATTCCCAATTGACGAGATATGCCTAGTTTGTCGCAAGGCATGTTTGGATACCTTTGGGGAACACGCAGTTCATTGTAGAGATCTCTCCTTGGTTTCAAGTATAGACATGATGTGGTTCGGGATGTTCTCTTTGATGCTTGTCGGCGTGCTGGTATATCTGTGAAGAAAGAAGCGCCAGTGAACTTTTTGACGGACCCGCAGGATGGTAGGTCCACACTTAGACCGGCTGACATTTTGGTCTTTGGGTGGATAGGAGGGAAGCATGCGTGCGTGGATCTTAATGGTGTATCTCCTCTCATTGGTTTGGGGAGCGGAGGTTTCACAGCTGGGCATGCCGCTTTGAAAGCCGCTGCGTGCAAAGTGGTAAAGCACGACAATGCATTTAGAGAAAATCAACATGTGTTTGTTCCTTTTGCATTCGATACATTTGGTTTTCTCGCACCAGAGTCGGTGGAGCTCCTTAACAGAGTCCAACGGGTCATGCATTCTAATGTCATATTTCCTAGATCCACAAATGTTGTTTTCAAAAGAATAGGTTTTGCCATCCAAAAAGGGCTAGCGGCACAACTTGTTGCCCGTTTGCCTTCAATCGATATGTATTGAATTCAATTTCGGAATTATATATAAAAATAATAATAATAATCAATTTAGTCTGAAATTCTGCAATGCCATTCTAAAATGTATTTTTTTTGTAAAAAAATGTTTTTTCTCAGTTCGAACGGCCCAGACTAAGTCGTTTTCCAAAACATTTTTTTTGTTATTATCTTCAAATACACAAAGTTCTAGAGAATGACTATTAAAATAATGTTGTTTATGGACACTTTGAAAACCCCATCCCGTTATAGCTAATTGTTGTGTTTTTTATTCAATTTTATTTGTCTCTATAAAGTTTCAACTTCATTAAGTTTATCTACACACAGTTTATGTTTGTAACATTTTTTTTGTAGTTTTACCCTGATGCACATGAAGCATTTGAGAAATGACTTAGTGAAATATTCTCTTGAATTTCAAAAATGGAATTTATATGATTGAAAGGAGCTCTCTTCCTCTCTCTCTCTCTCTCTCTCTCTCTCTCTCTCTCTTTCTCTCTCTCTCTCTTTCTCTCTACCTCTCTCTCTCTCTCTCTCTCACACACACACACACACACATATCAAATCATCACCACTATTGTAGCCATGCTTTCTTCAGTTATCACTTAAACTTATTGTTGTTATCATAACCTCCATTCTTCGTCTCCAATTCTTATTTTATACACCACCTTATAACTAAAGGTTTGTCTCTTTAAGGATCCTAACTATTTTGAAATGCTAAGCAGATGACTAAGTAGTAAGATCCTAAGAGTTTTTATAAACCTGAAATCTTCACGATCCTAATCATCTAGGGACCCTCAGGAGACTTACTACTACAACCACATCAATCATGTCAACCATGCAAGAAGATGTAAACAACCATGGCCTCAAATTAAAGGGGTTGCCCTCTAACCCTACAAAAAAAGAGTAAAAATTCTCTTACAACCCCAAGAAATATTCAAATTGTTTTTAAACCAAATCTAAACTACGGCTTGATTGTCGTCACCTGGAACCTTCTCTGCTTCTTCCTCATATCCTCCTACCTTCAGCTACCATGTAAGATCCTGACTGGTGTTAATAGGCTCACTAATTAATTTGAATAGGGCTTCGCATCAACCAACAACATTCCAGGATCCCGTATTGGCCATATCCTCTGCAAGTTTGATCTTAGCTTCCCAAGCAATCATAACAACACTACCCTTCACCTCAACAATCACCTATGCAATCTTTGCAACATGTTCCTCCTCCTTTGCAATCTTATCTTTGCTTAGAAACTCCATCCTAATTAGGAGATCCCCATTGGTGGACTTCCACACCCTCTCTTACTCCTTTAAAGCTAGCTCAGCCTTCTCAGCCTTGACCTTCTAGTCAGCAGTGGACTGAGAAATTGTCACATCCCCAAATTCACGGCCAAAAAAGACCGATTTGTTTATGCTTTGTTTTATAAAATCAGAGTAATCCTTTGATTAAAAGTATTGTGGAATTTGTTTCCAGAAAACATGATAAATTCTTTATTAAAGCATTTTCGAAGAAATGTAATTTATTCATTTTAAAACATTTGAGTTGTCCTAGTCAATACAGACACATAAGTATAAACAGAACTTACATTATTTTACACTAATGATTTACATCTCCTTTAATCTCTCAGTGAAATATGTCTTCGTATCGATACATGTGATAAAAAGAAAACTGAGTGGGTCAGGCTTGGGAGCCTGGTGAGCATATAGGGTTTTCAACCCACAATAATATAATTATTATAATTATTCATAAAAAAAATCAAGCCAATTACCAATACCCATTATCTTCTCTATTCCTAAAAATATTAAGAGTTATATATCATTCTCTCATTCATTCCTAAGGATTATCCTAAGGAATAGGCACACGGTTACATCGTTGCCAGGGTTTATACAACAGACACTAAGTCCATAGCTTCCAGGGTTATTACAACATGTGCTAAACCCATAGCTCTCATTTATCGACAATATTATTCACAGGAATCCACCTGCAATACATGTCATTGGGTT